CATAGGGAAAATCTGTTTGGCATGTCTCATAAAGTATGGGAAAATGTCATCTATGTGACCTAGAATGAGGAAAGGAACATGATAGAGTTGGGGTTTTCTTATGGATATTGACAGTTCAGTATATCTGATGTAAATACTCACCAGCTCCACAACAGATGTCACTAAGAATGATGTGAAAGTCAGCATTTAGTGAGTTCATTTCCAGCACATATTTCCTAAAACTGACAAATGCTTGATGAAAGAGACGAGCTGTTAAAGAACAAATAAACAACGATCACAAAATGCTTTGTGACAAACAAAATACAGTTGTATTCCTGACATACTTCTCTGTGCATTGTTTTTAGATGGGCGTGTTGTTATAATAACACAATGTGATGGGTGTGGTTGACAAATACAATGTTAATTATGTAAGATCATGTAGTAATAATAGGTCCATGATTCTTACCATCAAGCCCCTGGTCAGCAGCCAGTTTTTGCATCTCTTTTCTTTTGTAGAATCTATTCAGTACCTTGAGAAGTTCACCTGTTAAAACGGGTAAATACACAACGATCGGATGTATTTCTGATTATGGTTAACTGAATCGAGTATTGTCATTTTCATCTGCATGGTCAAAAATATAGTTTGGTTTCATATACATATGTTGAATGAGGTATATTAAAGATACATTCAGATGCAAATATGAATGTCCAGTACTTCAAGTGAGTCATCTATAAATCGATTATATACTAATAACACAACACTACTAAACACTGAGTTTACTTTTGTCCAGCGGTTGAGTCAACTCCTCGCCGACTGGCCCGTCCCCGCCTTCATCACTTTTGACGGTGAGCGGTACAAACAGGGATGTGTCCAGGGGTCTCGATGAACTGTTTGAATTTGAATGTCTACTTGATAATTTTTCAAATGTCCTTCTTGTTGGATGCAGTGTAGTGTTGTTTGTTACAGCAGCTGTGCTAGCACAGACCCGGTATCGGATGTGAGAGCGCGACAATAAGTAAACACAGCGATTTACCGACATTTTTAGCTTCCGTTAATCCAGTGCAATTGGTCGAGCAGAATAATAAAAATTAACAGTCGCGGTCGCACAATTTATATTATAAACATCATGTTAATTAACTCTGTTTAACTACAGCAACAGTACCAGCCTCTATGATGACAAGGACGTCAAGTTCCTCTCAGTGACAACGTGCAGAAGGACCCAAGAATCTTTGGTACCCGAAGTAATGCCTGTTTTTTTTTTATTTCACTAATGATTCAAGTGTTAAAGTCAAGATTGGAAATATTTAGGGAAAATATATCATAGTCTATGAAGTGTATTATAGACTATGATATCAAGGGAATACGTTCGCTATAACATGTGCAATCTTGAAAGTTAATAATTTTTGGAAAGTGGCACAAACTGAAACTACTTGCGGGGTTTGACATGTAACGTTACAAACAGTTCTAATCAGCGCTGTGTCCGAAATCGCTCCCTATACTATACCCTTAAATAGGGCACTATTTGAGGGGACAGACATTTTTAGTACTGTCCGAAACCTTAAGGCTGATTTATACTTCTGCGTCGGACCTACGCCGTAGCTTACGCATAGACGCACACCCATACGCCGTAGCCTGACGTGCACCTCTCCAAAAATCTAACAGCGCGTCAATTCTACGCAGACCGCAAGCGCTGTGATTGGTCTGCAAGAACCCCTCCCTCCATATGTACTTGAGTTTTGTGTGTTTATGTGCACTTTAATATATTTTAATGTTACACCTTCTTATATAAAATAAAACAAAGCAAAGAACAAGTGTCTTATCATTTATTATACTACATAGCATTATACATCAGTAGTTGTCCGCAACAAACAATGTTGATCTGCCGTGGTACAAG